CCCAGATCTCGTGTGGTTGCGGCAACAGTTTTCCTTAGCCAGCCAGGTCATTTGGGGGTGCTTCGGGTTGGGGCTCCAGAGTTTACGCTAAAGGGTTTCGTTTGGCCTTCCAAGCCAGAGTGTGTATGTTGCAAGCAAGCGGCGCCAGGATTGCTGATTTGCCCAATCTTCTAGAACTTTAACTTGGCCCCAAGAAGACTGCTTCGCAGACATTCTCCTTGCCAACTCCAGAAGATCAGGCCTGCAGATAGGAAACTTGCTAGAAGACACGTCTTCTGAAACCCTGTGATGTAGTGCAACGCATGTGTCGGACCAGCCAAGGCACGGCACGAGCATTTCTGGCATTTCGAGCAATCGAACTTGGCCGAGGCTAGCTAACAAATAAAAGTAGGCTGCACTGAAAATCACAAGGCTTCAGATCGATCAGAGAAGACTAAATCTTGGGCCCCTGGCGCACTGACTCTTTCAGCTTGTTCGTTGCAATGTCTCCACGGGATATGAAATCGAGGATGTCTCCAATAGTCTTGTCCATGTAGTCTGTGAGCCATATTCCCCCAGCAGAGGCTGTCGTGCTCGCCATCCCAGACCATGGCGGCGCTGCCTAGAGCGCCTCGAACGCATCTACAATGGGCTTGCAGGCCCCTAAACCCTATACCTTATAAACCCTGAAAAGTAAACTCTAGACCCGAAAAACTGAAGCCTTGTAAACTCTATAAACCTGCTGAAGCCTACACCCTGAAAAACAAAGTCCATTAAGCCGGCTGAACCCTGAGCCCCAAAAACTAAAGTGTATAACCCCTAAACCCTTAACCCTAAAAGCTATTCAGTCTAGCGATGTTCTGTCACTGTTCTGTTGGGGCACACTAGGCATATCCTTCTGATAGAGAGTTGCAGGTAAGCAGGTAAGCTTTAGGCTTCAAGGTTTAGGCCTTATTCTAGGGTTTTGGGTATAAGCTTGGTACGCAGGATTTCACATATTGCGCTAGACTTCGAGCTCTGGCCATCCAGCTAGCAGGGACATGCAGCATTGCAGCCCGCACATGCACAGGCACACATGAAACACATGAGATCAAAGCAAAGTAGGAGATTTCGGATTGACATTTTGCTTCTGAACCCCCTCGCGTGTCATGTGAAACACCCGCAGCCCGCGCTTCTAAGCAGCTGCAGGATCACTGCACTCTATGGTAGGCAGGCGTGGTCAAGAGGCATCCCAGGGTTACAGTAGACACACACGCATTCATGTTTGTGAGGCCGCAAGAAGTCACGCGAGCCCACCCCCGGCAGTAGAGGAAACCCAAGCTTGGCACTCGCTGTGCAGCAGCTTCATAATCATCACGTTCGCGCCCTTTTAGGGCTAGGCTCGGCGCTAGAATCATCATTCCAAGTCTCAGCCGCATCCGCGGGCTCGGTCTCATCATCGTGCCACTGGTCCTGCTGCTCTTGGCCATCTTCGGGCCAAGGAGCTTCCGTCCCCTCCGCCACTTTGCCTCCACCTGCCTTCGCAATCTTCTCTGCCTCTTCCTTGTCCTTTTTCTCCTGCTTGCGCTTCTGGGCGGCAAGGCCTTAGCTTCCCCAAAAGCAATGCGAATGACAGAGAAGTAGCTTTAAATCGCCTAGGCACGTCGTTCGTGGCTGCTGGCAACACCCTCTGCGGTCGTAACATCCTTCGTGAATTCCTCAAGAACATGACGATACGACTCCAGGTGGGCTTGAGCGGTCTCCGTCGGCTGGTTGGAGAAGACGATGTTATTGCACCTGGGCAATCGAAAGGTGAAGATATTCAGGCTTCACAGTCACAGGTCTAAATGATCGTATTGCGGGCAAGTGGCTCCTTTAGAATCTTGTGGCATTCATCGTGGACAGTGCCCATGCGATTGATGTTGTCCTGTGGGATGACAAGGGTCATGGCTGGAGATAGTGAAATTAGGAGCTATACTGTGCTGAACCTAAAGCCCCCCTTGAGTATATATAGAGTATGTCTATCATACTAA